TGGGGGACTACTCCGTGGGGTGTCGATCTAACGCAAACCCGAGCGTCCGCAGGACAAGGTGAGGCCGATCAGAATCGAACCCAAAACCTGTCCCTTGTGATGCCGGTGCTCTTGCCAACTGAGGTACCACGTTTTTTTTGTCCAGGTGTCAGGATCTCCTTTTTTTTTTTTTTTTTTTTTTTTTTTTTTTTTTTTTTCAACAAGTCCAGTCACAGTCAGTGCCATGGGAAAAAAAAAGAAAAGGCAACAGCACTGTTACAACAGTCAGTGCCAGGTGTCAGAATTTTTATTTATTTTAAATTGTTTATTTATTTATTTATTTATTTATTGGGTACAAAGAAAACGCAACATGCAAGGTCTGCCTTTGGTCAGAAAGACGGAAGTTGAAAAAAAAAAAAAGACGACAGCAATCAGTGCCAGGGGCCAAGTCCCACTAGCAGCGTTGAGCTACCTCAACGCCTGAATCTGGACGCTTTTGCGGAGATGTGCAGAAGTGGTGTTGAGTTTCCTGAACTGCAGGCGTTGAGGTAGCTCAACGCTGCTAGTGCATCTGACGCTCTGGGCCTGGGCCCACTACACAACGTTCTAAATGTATTTGGACTGGATTGTGATCAGATAAATTCCCATTGAGATCCAGATAAATCCGAAGTGATATTGAGTGGAGCGAGCCCATTCTGATTTAATAGTCCTCTGACTCTTTCCTTTTTTTTTTTTTTTTTTTTTTTGGGGGGGGGGGGTTGGGGGGGATCATCCCAGCACCACTCCCCTCGTAGCCAGGGTGAAATCCGCAGAGGAGGCAGCACAAACTGGACAACTCTGCTGCTGCTCTGTTTGTAACCCACCTGTAAGGACAGATACAGGCTGCAAATCTTTCACATCTTTTTTTTTTTTTTTTTTTTTTTTGGAACAGCTGCCTTCTCCTCGTCGGGGGACAGCCATATATTTTCTCTCACTTTCTTTTTCAGAACCTACTTACCACTACTACTAAGGCTATACAGGGGACCCCTGCAAGCTTTTTTTCCCCTTTTTTCTTTAACCCCCGGGTGGATGCGAGATGTGCTGATAAGAGCAGGCACCCCTAGCACTCCCCGGGAGGCTCCATCTATTGGTGGGGACCACCACCTGATGGAAACCGGATCCAGTAAAGGGCTGAATGGAGGTTACCTCTCTCGATGGAGGGAGGTAACCCCGGCATATTTGCCCCTTTTCCCTAGCGTTTAGGGTGCAGGGTTGGGGCTGTCGGGGGGGACCGGATAACACAAGGACCGAGCATTTTCATCTTCCCCCACCCCCATAGAGGTAACTGTAGTGTCTAAAGCCAACACTCTCCCACACACCACATGCAACCCACTCACACGCACACCCATTATCATTTTCCAACAGCGTGGAACTGCATGTTAACAACAACAACAACAACAACAACAACAACAACAACAACAACAACAACAACAAAACAAAACAAAAAAAAAAAAAACAAAAAAAAAAAACCCTTAAAAAAAAAGAAAAAGAGAAAAGATACTCGGTGCAAAATGCCTGATGCTAGTTATCTGCTTTCTTCAACCAAATAGAACGCCTGGTAATGGTCATTATCGCTGTCGCTGGACTGGAAGTTGGCCCAGTTATGCATCTGCTGTCTTCAACCAATTATAATCGGGCCAACTTCCAGTCCAGAGACAGCGATAATGACCGGGCCCTCTATTCGTGCATGCAAAAACGGTAGTAGTCCTGTCCCAGATTGCAATCTTCTCATCATCTTTTTCTTTTTCTTTTTTTCCTGTTCTTCTCCCGATGTATCGAACTCGATGGATGGCTAAGGGTAGCTATGTACCCTACTAGCCATCCATGCCTGGCTGCACCATCTCTCTCTCTCTCTCTCTCTCTCTCTCTCTGTGTGTGTGTGTGTGTGTGTGTGTGTGTGTGTGTGTGTGTGTGTGTGTGTGTGTGTGTGTGTGTGTGTGTGTGTGTCTTGCGCACGCTCAATGTCCAGTCAGGCCTGTAAATGGGGAAACAAACCTTCGCCTGGAGGAGTCATTTTCATTGCCATGCACTGGCATGCAGTCCGCGACTCCGCGGGGATATGGTGGGAGATGATGGGACAGATATATGGACATAAGCTGAAGGGGGTCATTTTCATCATAGGGATAGCTGAAGCAGGCCTTCGAGACATCACCGCCATTAAAATTGGAACAATACACACAAGATTAGCATGGCACCCGGTGCACAGAAGTTGATAAAAGGTCCATAAAGCTTGAAAACACACACACACACACACACACACACACACACACACACACACACACACACACACACACACACAATCAGTTTTATGTCTGTCAGATTTTCTTCTGTTGTTTGTTCTCCCCCTGATTTTTTCTAAGTATTTTTTTGTGGGCCGAACTGAGCACCCTTAAGTAGTGCCTCGTTTGGAGTGCCTACTGCACTATCATGGGGGCCGCTCCGTTTGGGGTGTCTGTGTTGCCTGTCGGTGATGACGGATGTTGCTCGGAGTGACTCCCTGGCTCAGTGGGTGGTGGGAACCAACAGTCTGCGGGGTTCAATCGTGATGTGAGTAGGTCATGTGCTGCTTTGCTCCGTGTTGGATGTGTGGACATTCTCGTTTGCGCTCCGCCGTTGCCCTGCTGCCTGCCCCGCTTGCTTCGCGTGTGGTTCTTTGCACTTTGTGTGTGCAGAGTCCATGGGCCACGAGGCCGTTTGGCACGAGGCCTCTCCTTACCTTCCTCTCTTTCCGATCTTCTTTCCTCCCCCCCTACTCACTTCTTTAGTATGATAAGAGGCTCTCTGTCTTTATCTTTTTCCGCAGCAAGTGTTTGGACTGAGGATAGTTGAATTTGGGCTTTTCCTAGCAATCGACATGATTCAATGAGCTCGCAGATGGCAATTGTATGAAGAATGGTTATATCCAACTATTTTGCGTTCGTTGCGATGTGCTTCATATGTAACTCAGCTTGCCTCGGCTTTATGTCGAGGTGGACTCATCTCAACGTACACACACACACACACACACACACACACACACACACACAAATTGACAAAAGGTCCATAAAGCTTTAAAAAAAAAAAAAAAAAAAAAAGGCTTCATAGAACATACTAGTTGACCAGAAGCATAAATGATAAACCCCAACAAAG